AGCTACTTTCTTTTAATTCAATGAGAAGAAAGATTTGTACTAATAGTGTTTGGACAAGATATCATTTCTGCATCTTGTACTATGAATAACTACTGTTATTCATAGAAGACAACAATATGCAATGTATTAATTATTGTAACTGTCCTACTAACCTGTTTTGAAAGTGTCTCATTGCTATTTGTTTCTCAATAAAATTAAGATAAAATAAAATGAAACTCACTAAATAAGAGTTACAGCAATTACCGGAAAAAGGCCCGCCTAGCCCACAGCTGTGCCTCTCCCTTAAACTCTTTCTCTCATCATTTTTCCTGATATTTTTGCTAACAAAAGGTCTGATGAGTAATCTTCTAAATATTTCTTGAGCATTTACACTTTAGTAGGCACTATGCCTCACTTCTATGGATAGAAGAGTGCCCCAACAGATTCCTTGTCTAAAAGCACAGTGAGAAGGAAAACAAAAAAAGTAAAATAATTTTTAAAAAGTTGAGGCAAATTAGTTTGAAGGTGAGTTCAGATACTATCTCTTTCTAGAATTTTTACAGAAATTTCTGAAATACGTGCTTATATTATCAGCTTTCTCATCATTGAGACACTATACTGGAAGGCCACAGATTCAAGCAAGAAGTTTACCTCGGCTCACAGTTTGGAGGGTTAGATCCTTGGCGGGCAGGCTCCAAGGCAGGAACACAGTGGAAGGGCATGACTGAGAAAAGCTGCTCAGCTCATGGTGGCCAGGAGCAGAGTAAGGGAACAGCATGAAAGAAGAGGGACCAGTGATCGTAGGTAGCACCCAAAGTTACACCATGCTCCACCCAATCCACCAGGAGACGTGCCTTCTCGAGACCCTGGTGTTTCTTAAGCCAGTCAGTTGGACACCAGTAAGGTCAACCAACAGAGTGCTAGAAGGTGAAAGTGATTTACATCCTGTCAAAAGTAAATTACTGCGACCTAAGCAATATTTTTTTTCTTCAAAACTGTCAGGGTAGAATCAATTTGTAGAAGAAACCACAAATTAAACCGTGAACTATCAGAGTGAATGTTGAGTACACTTCAGCAACACTATCTACATTTATTCATTTGGCAAATATGTTTTTGAAATTCAAGATACTACTGATATAAAAGATTTAAATGTGTTCTTTTTGGAAGCTTACACTCTAATAACAAGACAGATTTGAAAATAATTACTCCACTATGTGGTCCAAGCTCCATTTTGTGGTACCATGGGAAAAGGGGCCCTGACTAGCTAGCTACCTTGGAAGTAAGAAAGGCATTACGGGGCACAGAGAGTTGAGTTAAGACCAACAAAATAAATAAAATCACATAGCATCTATGAGGTCAACATTAATAATATCCAATTCTTACTAAACATTTAGAACTGTAAATTTTGGAAACAGTATAATGAATCCTTAAAAAAATTAAACATGGATTCCTTCATAGTTCAATAATACTACTTCTGAGTCTATATCCAGAGGACCTGAAAGCAGAAAGAAAAAAAACAGAACAAAAAATTCATGCACCCATGTTTATATCAGGGTTATTCATAGTACTCAAAAGGAGGAAACAACCCAAGTATTCATCTTCAGATGAATGGATACACAGAAAGTGACACATATAGATACAGATGGAGATGGAGATGACATAGACATAGATGACACAGATGATATAGAAATACCATTCAGTCTAAAAAGGAAAGAAATTCTGATACATTTTAGCATAGCTGAATTTTGAAGACATTATGCCAACTGAAATAACTCAGTCATAGAAGAATAATTGTAAGAGCCTCTTTGTATAAAAGGCTAAGAGTATGCATATTCGTAGAGACAGAAATTATAATGGTAGTTTTCAGAGGAGAGAAAAAATAATCTTATTTTAAAATGATGTCATTTCTATAATATTCATAGGAACGGAAATAAGTGCTACAAAGAGAATGGGGAATTCATCTAATGGATACAGAGTTTCAGTGAAAGATGAAAAAGTCCTAGAGCAGATAGCGGTGATGGACAGGGTTAAAATCCCCAGTGTGAAAGACCAATACTTAAAATTACTAAAATGGTAAATTTAAATTCCATATACTTTTAACACAATAAAAACCATTATATATATTTTTTACCTAAATCATAGAATTTCAACACTTTTTCATATTTCACTACCTTCAGTATAAAATACTGGGATGAAAAGGACTGAAATCTCAATTTGGAGTCCATCAATCAGAAAAAAACTAATTAGTGGATCATTTTTTTTTCTTTTGTGTGCTCTGGAATTAGTAGACTTCTAATTATTACCTTGAACTTTCAAGCATGTTAACTTGGCTACAAAAATGCTATATGAAAAACTGTAATTTCTTTCCCTGAAGTTAGAAGGTGCCAAGATGAAATGTTTCTCAATTATGTAAAGTAAATCAAGGTAAAAATTTACTTCCAGTGGGAAAAGGTGCATTTTTCATTGCTTATGGCTTAGAAACAACAAAGTGTCACCTTTGGATTAATTACAAGGGATAAAAATTAATACCAATGGAAATAAAATTTTCAAGGCACCTACAGTGACCAAAAGCAGTATGTAATAACCAAAAAATTTAATCATAGCTGATATATTAAAATATGCATGATAGCAATCAGAGTTCATTTACTTTAGCCAAGTTCAACAAGCACCAAACACAATGAAAAGAATGGGAGGGAACAAGTTTTGAAATTCTAAAATTTTTGAAACAAAGAAAATTTTTGAGTCATTTGTGTATTTCAAGGTTCCAACAACCAAAGCCTTTACTGGTTGCCTATATTTTTCTATTCCCAATAGTATAAACAAAACTGTTTGTCAATTATATAGAAGTTGACACTACTTACTCTTGGTGGAAATATCTGAATAATATTTCCAGCTATGTCTAGGATTCTTAGTTTTTTAAGATCACAAATTCCCTGTATCAGAAAGAGAGAGAGAGTTTTTTTAATCTAATGTCTAAAATCGTAAGTATATCTTTTAAGCCCAAACCTGATGGAAGTGACCAAGTTTTCCATCTGAACAATTCTTTAACACATCTTCTCAAATATGATTTTTTACAGACTGACAAACATCTTGAGCTCTGAATTTCTTCTACCCACCCCAGAGCAATATAACATGTTATGAGAAAAAACTCTAGGTTCACATTTCGACCTTGATAGTTACTAAGTATAACTGTGAACAAATTTCTAAACTCTCAATACTTTGGATTTCTCCATTCATAAAACGGAAATACTAATAGAAATTCCTACTTCATGCTCCTTTAAAATGGATTAAATGAGTTGTTAACCTAAATGTCCTTATTCAAGGGGCTATAATACAATAAATTATGGAACAGACTTGCCTATGATTAAGTAGAAAGAAACAGAGAAATAATTCTGGAATGCTGTCTCTATTGATACTTCATTATGCATCTATCTTCTACTTAACATTATGTCAAGGCAATCCTTCAAAAGGAGGTAAAACTGCATCTACATGCTCTGTTGCATCATAACCATTTTAACTATGTTACAGTACATTTGGGTCCTAGTATATCTACTATCAGGCAGATAACTAGCGGGATTTTTTTTTTCAACTAGAAATATCAAGATTTTTTAAATTCAAAAATAAGAGTACTTTTTATTATTTGTAGAGATATTTCTGGTATGACCCTCCTTTCCTGATGACCACTGTTCTCCATGGGAAATAGTATGTATCTGGTCATGCCAACACCTTTCCCTTTGGTCTTACTACATTTTATCAGAGGTTGGATTCTCTGAAAGCAGATTCTGAGATGGAGTTCGGGTACTGAAAGTATTAAAGGGATCGCCTCTGTAAAAATAGGGTCAATAAGAAGAATTGGACAAATGGAAGGATCAAGGTAGATACAGACCTAATATAAGTTCTAGAGGGGGTATTGACCAGTCAGTATTTTCAGCATTAGAGAGAAAATGCCAGTCTTTATAATCCTTCCTTGTTAGGTCATAGAGGATACCCTAGAAGGAGCATGACCTTAGGCAAGAAAGGACATACCTCCAAATTGCAGAGACCCTAATCCTTGAAAGTATCTGTTATTCTCATTAGCTGGGCATCAGGTCATTGAAAAGGAATCTGCCATCTACCATGCACATCCACCTCTTATTAAACCCCACATACCTTTCTATTGTCAGGATACTCTTCTTACTATCGTGTTAGCCTCAAAGATTTTCCAATCCATAATATATTCTCAGTATTCACAAGTCAAAATATAAAGTTTTCCCAAACTGCTCAAAAACACTTGATAATGCTATCTCTAAAATTGTTGAATTTTTTCATTAATTTGTTGTTGTCATGACTGCAGTCTATTATTACATTTGATATTACTGTTGTAGATTTTTCATATTCCCCACATCTTTAATCAAAGATATAAAATTGACAAATAGATGATGACCCAGTTGTGTTATGCGAATAAGTTTTTCAGAGTTAAAAGTACAGTAATGTAAGAAAAACAATAGGATATTTAGTAGTATACAGTCAGTCTTCCCTGAAGTAATGAAGTTTAACCTGAGATTCTCTGATCATAAAAAACAGGGATTTATAGACTGGGGAGATTGCTCAGTGGTCTAAGCTTCTGCCTGGCAAGGGCAAGTACCCAGGTTTGATCCCCGCAACACATGCCATGATGGCCCACTGTAAGTGAGCAGAGCCTGTCACTGAAACTGGGTGTGGTGGCACATGCCTATAATCCCAGCACTGGGGAGGCTGAGACAGGAGGATCACTACAAGTCTGTGCTGCATAGTGAGACCCTGTAACAAATAAATGATTAAAAAATAAATAGGGATTTTGTTTTATAATAATAGGAGATAGTTACTTCAAATAAAACTGTAGGAAATCTAGGATGGCAAAAACCCAGGGTGAGAAAAAAGAGGTCAGATTATGAAAGATCTTCCATGCATATCTTTTACATTATTATTTCAGATTCGTTAGTTTTTAAGTGAACAGAAACCAAAACCAAACTAACAAATGGCTGAGTTGACTGAGGTAACAGACAAACAAAAAAAGATGTCATTGAACATGGCTGGTCTAGGTGTTCACATCTGTCATCATGTTCTACTTTTGCATACCATCACAAAGGTAGAGCTCCTAATGAATGACAACATAGATGTCAGAATGTCAGGGCTTAACTTCTTCTATTTACCAATCCCACCACACAAAGAAGACATTTATTTCCTATATATCCAGTGAAGTTCCATCTCATCAACAAAGTTGAAGTCATCTGAACAAATCACTATGCCGAAAGTGATACAATATTCTGATTGGCTAGGTCAACACTAAGCAAGCCTCACAGGTTAATTGAGGAAGAGGAATGTCACAAAGATAAGTATCATGAAACCATTGTAATATTAAGTGTCCATGAATATAAAAAATCATGGTCACTGAAAGTTCATGATAGGACTAACTAGTATTTACTTTTTAAAAAAATACATATTTCTTGAAATTCATAGTTATACACTACTAGTAGTGATTTTAAAGACAGACATTTAAGGCAGACATATACAGTCTAGCACTTTTTCTGTCCTTTCCAAATTGCTCAAGTTAAAGCAGCCCCCATTTCTTATTGTAAAACAGGGATGATAAAGACCTGCGTCATAGAGTTATGATGAACTTTGGTCTAATTCACATGATGATGCTTTGTTGCTGCTATTGTTTTTCCCTCAAATAATTTTGTTTTAATACACTTACTTTTAACTTTAGGATATTCATTTATTAATAGGAATTAGAATTTTCAAGAAATTTAAGAAAAGCTTGGCACCTATAACCCCAGGACTTGGGAGACTGAGGTAGGAGAATTATCGCAAGTTCAAGACCAGCCTGGGCTACACAGTGAGTTCAAGACTAGCTAGAAGTGCCTAGTGAAACTCTGTCTTAGAAAGAAAGAAAGAAAGAAAGAAAGAAAGAAAGAAAGAAAGAAAGAAAGAAAGAAAGAAAGAAAGAAAATCAAGAATAAAATCTTTTAAATATGTGTTGAGAACTACTTTAACATGTTCACAAATCACATATACAGGATTTTTGAAGGAAACATCTTCATAAGAAAAAAATAAAACTGATAAGTACTTTCTATTTTTTTTATTTGTGTGTGTATGTGTGTGTGTGTGTGTGTGTGTGTGTGTGTGTGTGTGGCCAGCTCAGCCCACCAGGGGGCGGGGCTGGCTGGCATGTGGTGCTGGGGGATATGAACCATGGTCCCTGTGCTTTGCTAAGCTTGTTCTAAGTAGGTGCTTTAGACCACTAAGCCATCTCACCAGCCCAGTACTTTCTATTTGTATATGAACTTCATTAATCTCCTTTTCTCTCTCAGTTTACTGTCTATCATGTCTTCAGTACAAAAATTAACTCTAACTTACCTAAGGAAGAAAGGTAAATCCATTGTTTAGTTATCATTGGGGAAAACTCTCAAGCTGGAAATGTGAAGAATGTTTAACAAAGGTTACTATATTGCCTGGGTCTAGGCGCACTAAACTTCCATGGAAAGTGGCTCTTTAAACCCACAACGCTGGCAGCAGCAGTGAGTTATTACCATCCTAGTCCTGAGCAGTCAAGGAGAAGTAGTATTGATCCACAAGAGGATCACCTGGCATTAACGGTGGCCCTCTGGAACTGTATGGAGCAAAAAGGACCCTGCCAGAGATGGTGACGTGGGAATACCTGGTCCTACCTCTTGCCCTTTCACTTCCTGTGCCTCTCACTGGCCAAATCCAAAGACAGTCAGAAGAGAAAGAAGCTCACTGATGCCCACACAGGTGAGTGTCTATACCCAGGGCAGGTTAAAGGAAGACTGAGAACATACACAGAGGAAAAATGAAAGTACATATTCCAGCACATATTCCAAAAATAGAAAGAAATTTGTATTTTGTGCTGTATAGAATGTTGCTGAATAAAACGTGTAACACTTAAACGTAAATCTTAGACAATGAATAATTTTCAGTATAAGTATCTCATAGTCAGGATAGATGCATGGCTGCTTTCTCTTGGTTCAGTGAGAGGAAGGATTTGTAGTAGTAGTGTTTGGACAGGATGTCCTGGCTGCTTCTTGTGCTGTGGATGACCGCTGAGAAGATAACAATGTGCAATGTATTAATTAATGAAAAATGTCCTATTAATCAGCTTGGAAATTGAATCATTGATATTTGTTTCTCAATAAAATTTTTAAAAAGTATATCCTATACAACTTCTCAGGTATATTTAAAGAATTACTCATTCCTTATCAGAAATTCAAACTGAAGTACTTTGTATTTATATTTACTTAATATGGTATTGCATAGAATAATCCAAATCGGAACCTTCTTTTACTAGAGGGGTTGGGAACTGAATCTATCTATTCTGAGTGAAAGTAAATAATGGCTTGTATACCAACATCCAAAGCTGACCCAAACCACTGGCCATCAGAATGGAGATGAGTTCCTTTCCTCAAATAAACAAAGTGAGCCTCCCAATTTTACTTACCTCTGGCAAAACCTCAATATTGTTCCTGACCAAAAATAACTTCTGCAGCTTCTTCAAGAATTTAATCTCTTCAGGTATGCAAATGAGCTGATTGTAGTTAAGATGAAGTTCAGAAAGATCTTCAAGGAAACAAAGTTCTCTAGGAATGCTGGTTAGCTGATTATAATTTATATTCAAACATGTTAGACTTTTTAATCTAAAAAAAGTTAACAAAGTGTAAGAATGAAACTTACAAGAATAAGAAAGTCCACTGTATAAGCATGAATTATCAGATGGGATTCTTACTTGAATTATTTACAACTACGGCAAATCATTTGAGCATAAAATGTCTTATCTGAAATTTAATTTTTAAAGATATTTTATAATTTGATAGCTATGTTTTAATATGCTATACAACCAATATCTAGGTTTAAGAAAAATGAAGTTGTATTTTCATTCTTTATACATATATGTTGGCCACATCAAAGAGGAAGCTAAAAGGACAAAGGAGGGCTGGAGAGATGGCTCAGTGGTCTAAAGCACCTACTTGAAACAAGCTTGGCAAAGCACAGGGACCACAGTTCGATCCCCAGCACCACATGCCAGCCAGCCCCGCCCCCTGGTGGGCTGAGCTGGCCACACACACACACAATAAATAAATGTAATAAATAAAAAAAATAAATATTTTAAAAAAAAGGACAAAGGAAAAAAAATAGATATACTTTTTAAGAACAAATTAAGTTGTTATTTATAGTCTCTAAAGGAAGAAGCCTTAACTTGCAAGATAACTCTGGCAGTATATGTAGCACATTTTTTTTTTTTTATTTTCATGAAATAGAATCAAACACAGCTACAGAGTATAAACTAGAGATCAGCAAATGCCAGGAACAAAATAAGACAAAGATTGAGGCCTAAACAAGGAAACCTTTCTTTAGAATCTGCTGAACCACAGCCAAAACCAGGACTGGATCACACATAGAGGAAGGTTCTGATGTAAGAGAAAAAAAATGGGGCAGGGGCAGGCAGGGGCCACACTGGGGTACAGGCTCACTAGCGGGCAGATTGCTCTTGGTATTTACGGGATCAGTTGCCTCTATTTCTTAAAAATGCACATGAAAAGAGAGGAAGCTCTGTATATGCAGTAACAACCAGACATGAGCTGTGCTTAGTTGATCAGAAAGATACAAGGATGAATCAGCCACTAATTCTGCTCTTTTAGTGGCCATAATTTAAAAGGAGATATTAGATGGAGCCAAAAAGTGTAGATAGAAAAATGCTACAAGACAGAGAAAAACATGAATCAAATGTTTCTTTGGAAGAACTGACATTTTGAATTTGGTCCTGAATAACATACTTGTAAAAGAGGGAATACTAAACTAAGGAAACATGAACAAAGACCATAAGGTAATTAACACTCTAAGCTGCAACAATGTGCAGCAATGTGCATGTGCAATACTTTTAACCATAAGTTATAATTATTTCCCTTGTTTTATAAATGAGCAAAACAGTCAGTGGTCACACTTCACCAAGTTACCTTCCCAGTCAGTCATAGTGTGAAGATTCCAATACAGATGTATGTGCTTGCAAAACTAAGGGTGAGGACGTGTAACAGTCTCAGGGTCAAATGTTGACATTAAAGTAATAACCAAAGGAGGGAATAATTTTTTTGGCAATTGAAACTTAAGACTAGAGGTGTGGGGATCAATTATTTCCAATAAAGAGAACCTGAGCGATGACTATACACACAACAGTGGAAGCCATGTGCATAGATTGACTAACACAAAGACGAGGGCAGGAGGCCACAGAAAGTTTTGAGACAGGAATACTCGACAAGTCAAAGTAAAAGAAACAGAGATTTCATGTCATCATTATTTTTTAGTACAAATCTAAAGATTCAGAGGCCGGGGAGATAGCTCAGTAGAATAAGCGCTTGCCTGGAAAGCTCAAGGGCCTGAGTTCAATCCCCAGTCCTGCGAAAAAAAAAAGATTCAATCAGAGATCCAATAAAAAACTCAACCATTTGATTTTGAGTGTTTTGTTTGTTTTTTGAAGACTAGAGAGATTTAACTCATTGCTAAGTCACTAAGGAGTCCTAGGATCCCAGGTGTCACCACCACAGGTGGATCCTCAACAGGTTTCTTTTTTTTCTTTTCTTTTTTTTGTGTGTATGGGGGGGGGGGGAATCGATAAATCAATTTTTGAATTTGCAGGTAAGTTCAAAAGATCCAGAAGTCAAAAGTATCATTTAATGGCAAAATGTTTTTAAAAAGAAACCTGATTTCAAATATTATAACAATCAAAAGAGTTTGTCATTGGAAAAAAAAAAATGATAGTGCTACAGTTGGTCTGCCTGCCCCCAAAATTCATGTTACAGCCTAATCACCAATATGATACCATAAGGAAGAAAGGGGGTGATTAGGCCTTGAGGGTGGGGCCTCCATAAATGGACCGAGTGTCTCATAAAAGAGGCCAACAGATGATGTCTTGCCCCCACCACTATGTAAGAATATAGGGAGAAGGAGCCACGCTGTAGGCCAGCAAATGGGACCTTACCAAATACCAAATCTTGAATTTGACATCTTATCCTCCAGAACTGTGGATATAAATTTCTTTTTTGAATAAACTATTTGTGGTATGCTGCTATAGTGACTCAAATGGACTAAGAGAGGTAGAAAATAAACCACTGGAATAGAACAGAATCCCAATAACCTCTAAATAATCAGCTGATTTTTGACAAAGGTATCAAGACAATTTAAATTAAAAAGATAAGCTAGATGTGGTGGTGCAAGCCTATAATCCTAGCACTCTGGGGAGGCTGAGGCAGGAGGACTACTGCATGTTTGAGGATTCCTGAGTTCCTGAGTTCAAGTATAGCCTGGGATACATCCAGAGACTATCTCAAAAAGAAACAAAGACAGAGAGAGAGAGAGAGAGAGAGAGAGAGAGAGAGAGAGAGAGAGAGAGAGAGAGAGAGAGAGAGAGAGAGAGAGAGAGAGAGAGAATATGAGGTAGGGAGAGAAAGGAAGGAAGGAAGGAAGGAAGGAAGGAAGGAAGGAAGGAAGGAAGGAAGGAAGGAAGGAAAGGAAGAAAGGAAGATCAACAAATGGTGCTAGAAAAATTGTACAAATGTATGCAAGAAACATGGACCTTGACCTTTGCCTCATACCATGTACAAATATGAATTTAAGATGAAGTGCAGATTCAAACAAAGACTAGAACTTTGTCTTATAAAATGAAATAAAGGACAGGGTACTATCTTGATAAATTTGGGAAAGGCAAACATTTCTTTAAAAGGCCAGAAAGGGCCAGGAAGACAGCACAATAGCATAAGTGCCTGCCTGGCATGTGCAAGATCCCAAATTCAATCCCTGGTGCCACAAAAAAATTAAAAATAAATAAAAGGCCAGAAATAGCATTAATTATTTTAGAATGTATTTATTATTAAGCTATCATCAAAGTTAAAAACTCTAGTTCACAAAAGTCACCATTAAGAAAATTAAAAGATAAGCCACACACTGGAATAAAATATATTTGTCAAGGCTCTTGTATCCAAAATAAAGAAAATTTACAGCTTAATTATAATAAACAATGCAATTTTTAATGCTCTAAATACTAAGAGACATTTCACAAAAGAAGTTATGTAAGTGGTGAGACCATTAAAAGTGTGTTTCACATCCAGACATCAAGATAACTGAAATGTACTTTAACCAGAGAAAAAACAAATGCTTTATGGAACAATCATACAACAAAATGCTACAAAGAATAAATCAAAAAACAAGTACCAATACATCCAACAATAGCATTAATCTACAAAAAAAAATTAGCAAAAGAAATAAGAGTGTGTATTTATGTCATGATTCCATTTATTTAGTGGTAGAACAATCAAAACTAATTTGTAGACACAGAAATCAGAATATTATTTGACTATAAGGAGTCATCTGTAATTCTGGACAACTGAAGCAGGAGGATCACAAATGCCAGTCCAGCCTAGGCAACTTAGCAAGACTTTGTCTCAAACTGAAAAAATAATAAAGGGCTGAGGATATAGCTTGGTGTAAAGTCCCTACATTTAATTTCCAGTACTGCAAAAAAACAAGAAGAGGAAAGGCAGAAAGAAAGAGGAGATGGTAATATTCAACCATATGTCCAATCTTATGTAACTATACTTGTTAATCTGAGCAACAGATTTGACAATAAAAATAGATAATATATCAATCACTGTTAATCAGCAATTCTTGTTTTGAAAATCTGTAATGTGTTTTTTTCTGTTTCTGTCTTTGCTTTTGTTTTTATTCTTCAAAATAAAAGAAAATTGTAATAAAAATTTAAAAAGGGGGGGAAATACCGGTCCGGCCCCCCTCCCGTCCCTTTCTTGGACAGGAACTTTCTCTCAATAAATATATTCTGTTCATTAAAAAAAAAATTAAAAAAGAAAGAGGAGATGATAAGGATTCCCTGGAAGGGAAAATTTGTCAAAATTCACACCTTATACACTCATGAGTTTTATGTAACATTATTATGCAGAAAGAGAGTGCCATTGCCAAAAGGGCAATACTGACCTTTAAAAATGACTTACAGTAGAATGAAGAGGGCAGAGGAAAATTTACAAAGAGATAAGTAGGGAATAAAAGACATGGACAGGCCACACTTTAAAGGGGGAAGGGGAAGCCAGAGAGAGTGGAGAAGTTGACCAAAGGAAATAAAAAGGTTGAAAGAAAAGACTTAAGAGAGCTCAAGTGCTTCCAGAAAAACACGAAGAAAAGTCATTTACTAAGAGTGCAAAGGGTCAAATAAGGAAAAAGTGGAAAAGTAGTAAGAGTGAATGGATAGGTCCTGTGGAGAAAAGGATGGAGAATTTGTCATTAATCACACTCTTAGTCATTGTTTTAATTGACCCTACTCTGAATTACTATATGGGAATTCACCGTTTCTCTTGTTTCAAAACCCTGAACTGAGCTCAGGGCCTATTGTAAATGTATCCATCATGTATGTGGATGAGCAAAGGAGAGTGGAGAAATAAGTATCCATCAGCATTCTTATTTCCACACCGCACGGAGAAGTGATTTTTTTAAGGACCAGAGGAGCTTTCCTATTCCTCCTTTTTCCCTAGTGGGTTGATGAACAACTTTACTGGTTGGTAGATCTAGAAGAAGACCTCAGCCTACTGAGCTGGTCTTTCCTCTTTCCTTCTCAGTCTTCCAGAGTTCTACCCCTGCAGGACACACAGCCTCTTCCTGCAGCTCTGCAGTTAGTTCCACCCTGAAAAGTTGTTTCATAGTAAAACTCTTACCTGCCCTGCTTTGACTCCATGCCTATGAACTGACACCCTGTACCTACAGAAAACCAAAACACCAAAGTCCTTTCTACCCTCTTGGGTCTCAACGAATTCTAAAATAAGACATGGATTTGGAAGGGAATAAAGCACCGGTGTGTAGTTGACATAAAAACTCCCAGTCTCCCTACAAGTACTTCTTCATAGCTGTCTTAGTTACTCTTCTCTCATTGCTGGGACAAATACCCGACACTCAAAATGAAGGAAGGAAAGGTTTATTTAGCTCACAGTTACTGGAGGTTTCAGTCCATACTCAGCTGAGTCCAACACAGAGCAGCACATAGCAGAGGGCAACCTTTCATGGCGGCAGCAAAGAGCAAGAGCGCAAGGGAGGGGAGCAGCAGCTCAAGCAGCTGGCTTCTCTTCCCACCTTACATTGTAATGCAAATTACCTGCCCCAGGGCAGGTGCAGCAGCCACACCCACAGTAATCAATCACAAACTCCAGAAGCCGCCCCAAGACTGCATGAGGCTTGGGGGGGGGGGGGACACCTATACACAAACCGTAACAATAGCCTTCTTGTTTGCTTACTTTATGGGAGAGCAAGAGGAAGAGGTCAAACCACGCATGATTAATTTTTTTTCCTAACTTCACCAGTAAGTTCAATGAGAGTAGCTGATAAAAGCTGAATAAAATAACAGCCCATAACAATAAAAGCTAACATCCACCTAGAACTTATAAAACCCTAAACATCGTTTATGAATTAGCATATTGAACCTCATAATACTATGTTACAGGTACTGTTATACTCATTGTGCAGATGAAGACCTTAAGGCATGGGAAAGCAAAGCACTTCCCCAAAGACAAAACACAAAAATTCTACTTGAGGACATGACTAACATTTCAGCTTTCATCTACAACTTAGCCAGAAAACAAACAACCTAGATGTAGCTTTAAAACATGGACCTATACACTTCAGAATCCAATTTTTTTCTAGTGAAGGCTTTCACCTAACATATCACCTTAGATTTATATAATTCTTGAAATACTGTATATACTACTTCAGAGATAAATATGTGTAGTGAAAT